GATAGATTACTATTCACTGGATAACACATAATTTATTGGTTTCCCTGTTACTCATCCACTAGGTAGCGATTTATCCTGTGAATAGCACTTATATCCAACTTTTGAACAACCGGGCTCAGGTTAATGGTAAAAGAAATTTAAATGAAATATATTTACTGTTTGCTTTCAAAGAAGTAATAAAATTTATTGGAGGTTTCTAAACTTATGCAAAATCAAGAGAGAGAGAAAACTGCACTTGGTCAATTTCCTTCATTTTGAGAAGTCACTGTATTATGTAAACCTTTTTCCATAACCTAGTATGGAATGGTTCCTTGAAATAATTTATAATTCAAACTGGCAGCTGAATTAATGAACAAATATTCACAATAATGGTGTAAATAACTCAGAAATCCAAAATCAAGCCGGTTAAGGTTTGGGGTTATGCTTCATTCTTAAAATCATGTGATTTTGATCTGACCATGCTCAGATTTACAAGTGTTACATAACAGCATCAAAGGTGCAGTAAAATTAAAAATTAGTTCATACTGAAGAGACTGGCTCAGCTCTTAGCTCAGTTAAGCAGCATTTCTGAGTCTAATATTGAGTATAATTATTACAACTGAAAAATTACTTCTCGTTCAGATGTCTCTTATGACGGTTTTACAAGGCATGCGTTTACACAGTATATTACTGTAGACTGCCCAGCTTTTGCATTCCCATGAAACTGTTTACTGTTCTAAAGAGGATATGTTTAAAAATTTAACTGCAAATGTTTTTAATTCAATAATTGAATATGTATAAACGAGAGTTCTTCTCCATGCCATGGTGTGGAGCGTAGCGTAGACTGAACGTTTTTTTTTTAGTAAGAATTTAGTGGGCCGGGTATTCTGCAATCTAGCCTTATTAAATGTTAGCACTTTGACTACTTAAATTATTCTCTTCTCGCATAAATAAAATCGGTTGAAAATTAGTGAATTTTGATCGAAAGGCAGTAATTTTAGCAAACTCACTTGGAGTGCAGTTCCTCTAGCTGAGTGTAGTTTTTCTTCGTAAGTCCTCATTTGGATGCCACGTTAACAATCAGCGTCACATAGCCTCTGTACTTGGATAAACTCACAAGGTTCTCGTCAATATCTTTCACTTCAAAATCGAAGATAGTCTTGTGTTGCACTGCTCCGGCAGTCGCCATTTTCGTACCGTACAAAAGACCCAAAGAACCAAGGGAAAAAGCGGCGTACTTCACCAAACTATTCTTCGAATGATTCTTCAAACTACTAAGCAGCTGCCTGTTAAAACGCAACATTAACAGGCAGGCTTATTTTAGAAGATGACACCTGTAACAAGGGACGAAACTGGCAATCAGCGTGATTTTGCAGACCGATTTGGCAAGACCAAACTACTTGATCAGCGGATGTCTTTGGCTAGGTACATTATGTATGTCATTTTTTGGCGTCCTTCAATGAAGGAAAATTATTTTTCTCTCCTCAGAGTTTGACAAGAAGAAATAAACATATGAAAAGTAAAAGGGAAGGGAAAAGAGCCTCTGGGAACCAGTTTGCAATTGGGTATACAGTCAACTCTGTCTAAGACGGACACCTTTGGGACCGGCACTAAGTGTCCGTCTTAGAGAGGTGTCCGTCTTATAGAGAGTCAAATAAAGGGAGTAAAGAAAGGCAGGGACCAACTCTAAGTGTCCGTTTTACAGAGGTGTCCGTTAAGAGAGAGTCGACTGTACCAGACTCTGTTGTCCTCAGAGGTTTCCGCTGGGTATTCCAATAAAATAGCCGTCACTGGTACAAAGCAAGGATGGGAGACCTGTGCAGAGGAGAGATTATATTAGGGAACAAGCAATAACAACGGCGACGGCTACGAAAACGTCAGTTGAAAATGGCGTTCGCGCTGCTTCAAACTTTATCACGCGTCTTCCATCTCGTTCAATTCGTGAAATGTTGGCGAATTTTTCTGGAGTTGAATTCTAAAGCCGACTGTAATTGCACAGTTTAGAAAAAGAAAACGAGGGTCGTTGTCCGTGTCTTCACGTACTCCACATAAACGTGAAATTAGGCAGTTTCACGTCGCAGTCGGACAATGACGGCAAAGTAATGCACAAAAGAGCGTGAAGTACGTGCAAAGTTTTTGTTTTGCCGATCTAAACCTATTGTTTTTTTTTTGCCGTTCTCGTTGATAGGGAGCTTAAGCAACAACGGCGACGTCAACGAGAACAGCAAAAAGCAATTGGTTTAGATCGGCAAAACAATAACTTTGCACGTGCATCACGCTTTTTTGTACATTTCCTTTCCGTCACTGCTCGACTACGACATGAAAATGCCTAATTTCACGTTTTGTGGAGGACGTGTGATCTCGTACCCAGATCTCCCACGGTAAAACAGAGTGAGATCTGGGTACGAGATTAGAGGACGTGAACACAAGGCAACGACTTTCTTCTTCTTTTTCTAAACTTCGATACAGTCTTTTAGAATTCAACTCCAATCTTTCTCCCCTTTCAAAACTAAAGATGGCAACTATTAACACAGGAAAATCGACTTTTACTCAGAATTCCGATATCTTTGAGATATCTCTTAAACAGTGCCGGCAGCTATCATAAGACCTTTGTCTTAAGTCATGTGGTTACGTGCACCAAACCAGGGGCCCATAACCAAACTGCATCAAGTCAACGCCTGGAACAACGCGCGACAAAAAGAAACTGCGAAACGTGAGGACTGGGGAAAAGACAAGTCACGGCTCCTACGCCATATGGCAAACCGAGGAAACACACTTTAATTGAATTTATTTTCTCATTTTTCTCTCTCAAAGGTGAATAAACTAAAGTACTGGCATTCTCTCATTCTCTTTTAAAAAATTTTATGTACAACTTATTTACAATCTTTGTACAGTATATACCTGTCAGATGCACTGACTAGCTTTTATATGCACACAAAATCACTATGTAAGGCAAGAAACTAGCTAGAAATACGGAGATGAATTGGAGCGACTAGTTGAAACCTAATTTCATAACCGGCTATCGACTTTTTCTTTAAATCTTTTCAGTTCCTTTGCAATATTCTTTTCGCCTCCTAAACTTTCCATAAGATCGTGACCAGTTTCTCCGCCAGACTCTTTGTTCTCTGCGCTTCTTCTCCTTTCGGGTTTTGTTCCAAACAGATCCCGCGCAGTAGCAGCAGGTTTCAGTGAAGCAACACGAACCTCGTTGTATATTGTTTGCACCTGAGGGAAGCAAAATAATATGCAGGGGGAAAGTGAGCTTTTTCTCAAGGTATAATTAGAAATTAACTAGCATAAGCTTCCAAACAACTGGCCTGAAAAAAAGGGCGAGTCTTAGATTCTTAGGTGCAGCCCGCCTACACCCATCTTCTTACTCCAGATATACTTGGAACTTATAACCCCTCGTTGCCTTAACCCCAGAACGCACCCGCCCAAAACAAAATCCTAGAACTGCCCTTCAAACAGGACCTTCCTTCTGTATTCCTCGATCAACACTCTCTCCTTCTTCCTCATTTAAGGTGATCTAGCAGACACTTCAGGCTCGCCAATTGCAAGGAAAACTGATTACCACATCATGTCTAGGCGATTTCTAATTCAAATTCAAAGTTAAAAAATCAAGGAGTGAAAAAGCAGAGAATTTTACTCACCTCATTTAAAAGCTTTTTGGCCTCCTTGTACTCTTGTTTGTGTTTAGGGTCTTTCTTGAAATCTTGAAGAGCGGTTGCTAAAGCAAAGCAAACAGAAAGTGACAATCATGTTATTCAACCATCGTTTACTCTGGAAAAGTTGCTTTTTGGGTTAACTCTTCCGGTTGAGATGTCTGGTACTGTTGAAATATTGTGAAATTGTAAGATAGGGGCTGTTTACACTTGGTATCCGACCACAAGTTCCGCACCTAGGACCGGCACAATATGGTGTAATCTGTTGAAATATTATGAAGTTGTAAGATAGGGGCCGTTCACACTTGGAATCCGACCACAAGTGCCGCGCCCAGAACCGGCACAATATGGTGTAATCACACTTTGGGTACCCAATATCTAACTGAATGCGGTCTCGCTGACAAGAAACTCACCTAGGTTAGACTCTTTTGTCTTGGATTGAACTCTCATTTTGTCCAAGATCCCACCGAGCTCTTCAACTTTACTTTGTCGTGATTTGGACCCAACTGATATCGATACAGTCTGAAAAACAAGAACAAGAAAGGTACTTCAATCCGTGGCATAACACATCAGATTGCACACAAAAAGCAGTTAAGAAGGTGATATTAAGAGCTGACGGAGCTGATTGTCCCCCGCAAATAAAAAACTCTGACATTTTCAAGATACGACAAAGAAAAAACAACAACTACTACAAGGGCGACCAGTTTTTGTATTGCGTACGAGTGTTCCAAGCGATAAGGAAACACGCTAGTTTTGAGACAGCCAACGGTATTTTTTCATATAGTTTATACCTTAGTCTTTCTAATTCTCTTTTTTTGTATGCACCATTTGACTTAAGGCCCTAACACTTTCTTACACGACATGTAGGATACGATTTACCGTTCCGGAAGAAAAAATCCGATTATATGTGACCTCCGCTTTTAGCTTTGCCTACGTGTTTATATTATAAGACAAAAAAGAGCAAAAAAACAGCTGACTGTATTGCTAACCATGAAACGGACGTGCTTTAAGGCAACCAAGGCAGCTTTGATTTAAAATCGGCATAAAGACTACCTCTGCCTTTTTCACTCTCTTTTGTTTGTATGTACCCTGTGTACCGTGCGACTCACTGAAGATCAGAGGGTGTAGCAAAGCATAATTCAAAGCCCTGACCACGCGGAATACAGGGGCTTCGCTGTTAGCTTTGCCTAAGTGTTTGTATCACAGAATCAGCATGTAGATTACCTTTTCCTTCTTCACTCTCCTTTCTTTGTATGTACCGTGCGACTCACTAAAGATCAAAGGGTGTGCCAAAGCGTAATTTAAAGCCCTGACACTTCCTTGCACGTCACGCGGAATAAGAATGTCCGGGTCATCTTCATCAACATCCAACAGTTCTTCGTAGCCTTTGTATTTTGTTTCCACGCTAAATGGTCGCTCTTTTTCTTTTGTTTTCTTCGATTTTTGTTTTGGAGGCTCCACTTCTTGTCCTTCTTCAAGGTCATCTACCTGTTGGCGTAAATGGCAATGAATGAACAAAACTTATACAAGACGGGGCAAAAAGATGGAAATAAATGGTTAATAGTCAGTTTATACAGTTCGCGAAATAGTGAGATGAAACTGAAAGCTCTGTGATTTACTGTGGAACTTTGTTTTTCTGTTGCAAGTGGTTCTAACTTTTGAGACTGTCAATGAAATCCTAAGGTTGTTAAGCAGTACTAGAATCTAGTTGGTATGTTAAGTACGTCTTTTTTTTTCAAATGAAAAGTAACACTAGCTACTTCCTATGACTCGGAAGTGTTTACGTTACTGTAAAAATAGTTTTCCTGTGTGAATTTTAAATGCACGTTTTCCATCTTACTCCCGTGGAAATCCAAATGCAATCCACCTTTCTCTTAATTTAAATTTAACATGATCACTCTGTTCGTTTATAAACTTGTCCTGACGTATTATAGGCCCATCTTAACCGGAGAAATTATCGACGAGAAATTCATGTTTGAAAAACCCGACCATATGTAGTGCAGGGACCTCGAATATCAAAAATGCTAGGGGAACAAACCTCAGGAAATTAAAAAGTCTTACTTGCGTCATGAAGAATCCATCTTCAGAGTTAATCTGTCGATCAGCACGTGGCTGACCACGCCCATCAGCAGTGCCGACGCTCTCACCAACAGTAGCTTGTCCATCTGTCTTCACGGTTTGCCTTGTACTGAGGTCAGACCTGTACTGAGAAGACCCTGGAATCTCTGGAGGCATGCTGTTAGTGCGTTCATACTGAGGTCGTACACTGTCTCTCGGTGTGGTCTCCGTCAGACCAGGAGCTGTGGAGAGCTTCCTAGGGCTGGTGGATTTCGAGCGTCGGCCAGTGGGCGGGGCAGATCCTATTGGCGGCAACGTTCTGTACGGTGATCCAATGTATTCGTCTGATGTCTTCTCAGGAGGGCCCTCCAACATAGCGAGAAATTGTTTCTTGGGCATTGGAGGAAGAGCGTCTTTCACCTGGGGTTCGAAAAAGAGGAAATTAAATAAATTTTACCGTCATGCAAATACAAAACATGATAACACGGGAATAGCTAGCGGAACTAAATTTCCTTACAGTACGTGGAAGTACTATTTCTACGACTACAATGATCGCAGGGGCTTGATACACTCCTCTATGTTCCGGCGGGAAAGAGAAGTTATCTGGATATTCGTTGGTCTGCTAATGCTCCATTCTTCTGCAGCGTTTTCTAACCGTGGGCATCCACCCCGCTACCCTGGGTATTAGTAGCCTGCCAGCAAGCTCTCTATTTGGGGGAGTCGCGAGAATTCACGCGAGAGCCACACGCGAAAAGAGATTTTCGCTCTCTATGGTTGAAGAGCTTGCTTGCAGGCTAGGGTATTGGAGTTTTTTGTCGCATGCGACGTTCGAGTACTGTGGAGATGTTGAGTTCGTGGTCGGCTACGTTATCTGCCAAAGGCCTAAGCTCTGGCACGGTCCAGGGAATCACCTTTCGTTTCAAGTCCATCTTACCGCCTGAAGACCGACACGATCTGCACTAAGACACCTCTCTTCATTATCACAAACGTTTCGGGCAATTGCTTGACCAAACACTTTATAACCTTTCTCGAAAGCGTTTTCAGGGGAGGGAGAAAATACGACTCTCCTAAAAACACCTGCATGGGACGCTAAACACTTTGGGGATTTACAACAGCACGACAATGAAGAAAAGGACCACCACTGGATGACCGAAATTCGTCCATCAATCTCTATTTGCGGTAACAGTCACGGATAAAAGGGATCTAACTAATTTTACGCAGCATCGTTCTAAAAGTCAGGCAGACACACTACCTGAACAAGACCAGGGACCATGGGAGAGTTTCTTGAAAATCAACTTACTTTTCTATTAGTGTTCGCAAGATTCAAAACTGGCTTGGGTCTTTTCGGGGGCTTTTGCCTGCAAAGAAGGAGGAAAATAAACCGTCAAAACGTGTTCACGGCGCGTCCTGCAAAACGAAGGAGCAGAGGGATACTTTCGATTTGTACGGCTGGACATATGAAGGCGCAAAACCGTTTTACCGCAAGATCTCTTTTTATAACCTTGACTATAAAAACTCAGAAGTGTTCCTCACCTGAAAATTCTCACACCTTTAAGTCTTCCGAGCTGAAATGAAAGAATTGGTGGGTCTCCCTTGAATGCAGTGGTAAGCGGATTGCCCCACAACACAAGTTCTCTAAGAGAAGGCCAGCCCATCAAAGCCAAGAGCCCTTCTTCCTCAAAGATGAGATTATTTGCAAGGTTTAGGTGAAGTAAGTGGGCGAAAGGCATCGGTGGATTATATTGGTCACCTGAAATATCAAAAGCAGTAATCTTCATGTCTTCATGTGTATCACACGAACAATTAGAAATAATAAACAGTGAAACTGTCATGTCACGAGCTTGGGACAATAAGCATCTTTTGGCACAAGCCCTGGCGAAGAAAAGGTGAGAATAACTCATGTTTTTTCTTTGCTGGGGCTTGCCCCCTTTTTTCTCGCAGCTTCTCTAGTCGCCCCTCACGCGTAATGCTCTTGCTTTACTGAAGTTTAAAAGAGAAAAAAGAGACTATTCGCAGTCTGGCGTTTTTAATAACTAAGTGATTTTTTACGCGCTTATTAGTCAAGACCATCGAAATACATTCCAATAAACGTACCTAAAAGAGAAGCATCTTCAGTAAGTACGCTGGATTTTGGTTGCATTTCAGGCCGTTTGTGTTCCTCATTCTGTTCATCATCCGCCAGTTTTTGGTTTAGAATTTTATCAACTTCATCAAGAATCAACTCGTCGTTACTTTCTTTCTTCTCTTCAGTCTTCGATTCCTCTTTGGTATCACTAAAACGTCCTTCATTTTTACCCTGTGAATCGCTGTCCTTCTCCTGAGGAAAACTAGGTGCAGAGCTATCACCCGGCTCCTCGTTGAAGACATCTTCATTCTCTTTCTGGGAAAGGTCTCTTACTCGGGCACCCAGAAGCCGAAGATGGGGAATGGAGGAGATTTCATTGTGTTCCAAATTAAGATATCTCAGCCTGTTGAAGAAATTAGAATTTTAAATTGGTAGTTGTGCTTATATGAGCAGTTTGATTTCTTCTAGCACAATACGCTCCTTGAGACGCCCTTCTTAGAAACAAAATCTAATTACCTAACTTTTCACTATGCCACTATGAAAAATCACTTTACAAATTATCAAATATAACACTTGGAAAACAAGTATAAAATTAAAAAAAAAACCTACAAGCTAATTGAACCAGCCCTTGAGCACGAAATGAATAACTGTCTCGTCTGGATGCTTACAATTATACAAATAAAACACAACATCAAGACCTGTATAATTTTTGTCATTTAATGACCGTGGATGACTTCCTCACTAAACGGTCTGTAAAGTTTTGAATTCAGTTATCACAGATTGCTTTTCCTGATACGCAGGCTAACCGTTTCGGTAGTATTAAATTAAGCACATGTGAGCTTTGACTTTTAAAACAGGCCCAGGGAAGACAAGCCTTCCCCACATTCAACCAATAAACTTATTATATAAAAGTGAATCCATTACCAGCTGTAGATCGCAGTTCAACTATTGCATACCTGAGAAACAGGCATTGCATTCGCATCACGGATGTCACTGAGATTACAAGTTGCCGGGTAAATACAAAAAGTAGGCAGGGAATCAGAGCTAGGGATTTCTTTTGGTTATATTTTCTTCTATTTTCCTATGAAAGCAGACATTCACAGTAGCTGGGGAAAAGCCCTGGCCCCTGGCTCTTAATGACAGCCCTGATTTGCATGCAAGGTAGTTCAAATTTCTGCCAGATCAGTCTTCACATTCAGTGATATACTCTGTAAATAATTTCATAGAAATTTTATGCATAACGTTAACAAAATTTTAGTCCATACTTTCTTAATCCTGCCAGGCTGGCAAAGGTGGACAAANTCAAATTTCTGCCAGATCAGTCTTCACATTCAGTGATATACTCTGTAAATAATTTCATAGAAATTTTATGCATAACGTTAACAAAATTTTAGTCCATACTTTCTTAATCCTGCCAGGCTGGCAAAGGTGGATAAATCTGTTAGTTCATTATGATCAAGGTATAAGTTTTCCAGAGCAGGAAATCTCAGTTTTCTCTCGTGGGATTCAATATTCCCTGACCTGCATAAAACAAAAGAAAATTGCTAAAAAACATGATTTACGTTGTAAAGTAGCTCATTTGCACATCTCCCATAATACAGCTTGTTTGCCCCCCAAAATTTTGCATAAGCATTGTCTTCAATTTCTCTTAGGACCACTGTTATATCCAGGAGAAACTAAAAACAAAGGTTATGCAAAGTTTTGGGGCGCAGACAAGGTGTATTATGGAAGATGTGCTAATGGTGAATTTGAAAGGGCACTTTCACTTAACCCTTTAAGCCCCAATATCCACATACAAATTCTCCAAACTGATCTCCATACATCTCCTTTAAAAATGAGTTGAGAGAATTTGATAAAAGATCATGGAATTTTCTCTATGATGATCATTTTATTAATTCTCATAACTTTATCTCTTGACAGTGTATGGATATTGTTAGGAGAAAATTGTTGTTGGTCACTATTAGGACTGAAAGGGTTAATTTTCAAAACCCATTATCATTAAATGTAACAATAAACACTTTACGATTGCTTTACACTGGAACTTTCCATGGTTATCTTAGGAGATAGATGTAGAGATGAGATGTTAAATTATGTTCCAACTAAATGAAGTGAGTTGTTGTGTACAATGATAGTCTATCTACAGAAGTGGCATCTGTATGCTGTACATGTATGTAATTAAATACTCTGAAACTCACAACAATAGTGAACACCAGACTGAGTATATACTGTTGCAGGAAAAAAGCCAATGAGGTGAGAGAAAACTAGACCTTGCACAAGGTTTTGTGCCATACTTAATTGTGTAACCTGATTTTTTTTATGATTCGTCATAACAGCATAACAAAGACCCTCCCACGGTTTTTTCAATTGTTGATTGGGATCAGAGTAAAAATCTGTCAACATGGCTGAAAAGAACGCTTTAAAATTGGTAAAAACGCTAAATTTGAGCGTGATTTGTTGAAAACTGGCAACTTTTAAGATAAATAGCTCAGCAAAGTCACCAAATTTTACAGGCATTTATATTGGGTGGGGAGCAAGTTCATGCCCCCCAATTAATTAAGAATTTATTAAGAGTATAAGCAATTAAGAAGAAAATGAAGAGGGAGACAAAACACCCTGTATCTATATTAAGTGCTTTCAATTTGCAGAAAACAATCAATTTTTTAAACACTTACATTGTCATTCCTGTTATTGTTCTGTACATTCTTGTCATTTCCACTGGAAGTCTTTTTATCTCATTGCCTAGAAAACAAATTAATTATAACTAAAAAAAATTTAAATTTTGATTGTCAGTGACTTGGAAAAACAATTTTCCAGAGCAATCAATATTTCAAGAGAAGTAATCTAGTATAACTGTTAAAATCGTTCCATGAATCACCTTGGAAGTCTGGAACAATACAGATGTACCGGTATTAATAATCATGATGTCTAGCAAAACATTCCAAGCTACAATTTTGATTATTAGCTTTATTGCCAAAATAAGTAAGAATAAAAAAGCAACAATCAGCACTTTTGATATACTAGTGTGAAACATTGTGGTAGAGTATGTATTGCACAGTTTCCTGGAGGTCCATCGTGTGGCAAAAAGTGTCTATGATGCAGCAACTCATGTGATATCTCCTTAGAGTTTATTTTGCTTAGAACAGTCTACTCAATGTCATAAGAATCTACCCAACTTGAAAAATTTTGAAATTTCAGAGGCTCCTCATGTTTCCAAAGAACAGACCAAGATGGATGTATTAAGATTGCTTGTGAATCACTGACTGCATGGATGACTGAATGCAATTTGAGGTCAACAGTGCAAAACTGAGACAACTTTGCAAAATAAATATAATTCAGTAGCCCTTAGTACCTTGGGGGAAAGGTTTCTAGGTGAAAATTCGTACGCTCAAGGAAATTGTAGGTTTCAGAAAGTTTTAATTCAGTTCAAATTTTAGAGTTAAAATTCTTTTCTTTTAGTGTTCAATTTGTTCCACCCCATAGTGTTACTGTTGAACTAATAATACGGTGAACATTTAAAGTATTTTAGGAATGTTTATATTTGTGTAAATGACCAATCAAAGTGATATAATATTCAAGAAATATTTCTGGTGTTCATGGTTTTGTGAGTTCACAGTAACTGTTTTGATTGAAAGTCTCAGTTTTTTAAACAAAGGGTTCACTGTTGAAACCCAAATTTACCATTTAACATCCCTCTGCTTTTACCTGTTAGATGCAAAGTTCGAAGGTTCATAAGAAGTCCAAGTGCCAAAATGTCATCTCCAGTCACACGATTGTAGGAAAGATCAAGAGTCATCAGGCTTGTGAACATGTCTGGCTGGATTTTGATGGTGTTGTGAATGTTGTTTAAAGGAAGTTCTAATTCCTGGAGTGCTGAGAATTTGCTAAATGCAGCTATATTGAGAAGAAATGTAAGACATAATCATTGTTAGTAAAATCCATCATGAAAGAAACTCATCCTACATGACTTTCTGGAAATTGCATTTGACCTTTAAACTCTGTTAGGAAGATTTTGCTTTTTTATTAATTTCTATTTTCTTGAAAGTGTCTAGAAAATAATAATTGATTATAACTTTTCTTGTAACCACAAATGAAAGCACTACATGATGGATTTGCCCTATTTTTAAGCTCTTTAATTGGGAAAAAGTGAGGGGCATTAGAGGCACTTACATATCCCAAAGAAAAGACATGAAAATCAATCCCTGTTACATTATGTGTGCATGTTAAATTTATGTTAAGTAGAAAAAATCTCTTTGCCAGAAGTACAATATATTTTGCCTTAAGCTGAATGATTATTATTGCATACTTATAAATAACTGCTAAACATTATTTCAAAGTTGTTTTACTGTTAACTCACAAAATGGCAGATTGTTGTCTCCCGCATCAACATGGATAACATTGTCAAATAGCAAGAAGTCATTTTCATTCACCTAGATACACAAAAAATGTGTCAATTGAAGAACCAAATCAGTGGGGAAAGATGCTTTTATATGCTATGCTCTTAAATAAATCTCACTTGTGAAATTTCACCCTACTGTACATTTTGAACAGTCACTCAGGGATGTCATGATCACTAAGGCCAGTGGCCAGGATTTCCCCAAGCTACTATAAGCATGACCACTGGCTATTTTGATAGGTGGAAAAGAAAAGGAAAATAACACCAAAGAACTTCCTAGCTGCTACTATTGTAAAATAATATGCTCATCTTCATCACTGTTGCAGTTTCAGTCCATCCTTGTGTCACTTGCCACCATTTCATTTGACTAATGTCACTGTTTACCCTGCTAACTTCCCATTAAATGAACCTACATGTAACATACACGTTGCAAAGAAAGTCAGTTTTACAGCCTACCATTTGGGCAAGCTGTAGCTACCAAATTGTACCAGCCCACGAGTCATTCAACCAGCTCCAAAACCCTTTCTGATTAGCAGGAGTAGATTACAATCCTTCTGTAATTTGAATTTCCCCCAAAAAACAGCACTTACCCATCGGGCAAGTTAAGAGCAAAAATCACTAGCCCTACAGCAAAATCCACTAGCCCAGGGCTATCGGACACGACTTTCTCTGCACACTGAACATATAGCTCTAATCCTTAAATATAATTAACATACATGTACATATTATTGTACCTCTCTTAGTTCTTGTCCACTTATTCTTACTGAGCATAAATCAGATGGATCATCTACATGAAATTGTTTCATCTGGAAAAAATACAGATTTCATAATGTTATTTTCGGTACATATGATGTAGAGCGTAGTGAAGCAATATTTTACTTTCAGCTAAAAGCATGGTTTACAATTTGCTGTGTATGTTGACCTGATTTGGGACAAAAAAAGAAACACATGGAACGGGAAAATTTGTTGCACAACAATAGTTTTTGAAATAGGTCCAGTTTAAAGTTATTCTATTAATGCTTCAGTTTAAGCTTACCAGATAAAATCCATCAAGTTTTTGTGATTTAACATCAGTGAGAGTGTCCGTTTCTTCATTTTTAAAGTTTTTAATCAGTGGTTTTGTTGGTAGACTTGGATCCCCAGCACATAACACGGCTTTAAATCTTCTTCTCTGCTCGGCACGGTAAGCAACAAGCCATGCCCCTCCTTCAGAAAATATCAACAACAATGCAGTAACTATAAATGGAGGCTTTAAAACATGAAGATTCCATTCAGACATGCCTTCTGTAATTCCTTTCCAACATGCTGTTTGGTTTACGGTCAGAGAAACTGAATAGACCAGGCAACGTTCAAAAACAACACTATAAGCCCTGTCTTATAACTTATTTTATGTTAGTTTAATTCAAGACATCATTAATACTGTACAAGCAAACTAACATGCGGAAAAGAAGTTAGCGGATAGAGGTACAGTAATATCATGATACAAACACAGAGAAATAATTTACAGACATGAATGTAATTGTAAGAACGAGAAACCCGAAGAGAAATGGATAGTCAATAACCTCATCATATCTAGCTTCGCTTTCTTGAGCTTCGTTGCTTTATTTTTGTCCCTCAGTCCACTACTATACAACTGCAAAATTACCAAATAGCCGTTTTGAACAGGACATGCCATGCTACTCTCTAGAACAAATCCCCCGGTTAACATTCCCCCGATCTTTATCAGAAACTCTACAATTGAATGGATATCGAAATCACGATTACTGGGAATGACCATCGATGAAAAACTGATCTGGACTCAGCATATGCTGGAACTCAAAAAATCATTTGCTAAAAAACTAGGATTACTTAAGAAGTCGAGATTTCTCCCTAGGAACGTTCGTCAGGATCTCTATTTTAAGGTCATTTTGCCTTCAGTGACCTATGGTCTTATACTATGGGGATCTTGCTGCAATTCCGACTTATTTCAATCCCTGGAAAGACTTCACTGCAGGGCTGCGAGACTTATCTTTAATTTGCCGAAAGACATGGCATCTGCTGATGTCCTACAATAGGCCCAATGTCCGACTCTGTCTATTCATTATCAATCAGCCATTTTTATCTGCCTTCATAAAGCTTTCCACGATAGGTTACCTGTCACATTGATCGATCTGGCCCGGGTTGCTCGAAGCATGGTTAGTGCTAACCAGCGTTAAATACCATGGAAACCTATACATTTTGATACCTCTTAACCAACGGTTAGCGCTAACCAGGCTTCGAGCAACCGGCCCCTGATTTCTAAGAAACGGGCCACAAACTATTCAACCCGGACTTGCGCTTCTTTAATTGTTCCACGCTTCAACACGCATTACATGAAAGACTCTGTCGCGTTTAGAGACTCAGTCCTGTGGAATGCAGTGACAAACAACTGTAGTGCCCTGACAAAAAACATTCCATATCATGATCCCAGACTAAAGCTTAAATCTCAAGTTAATTTTCATGAATTCAGCTTCAAGATAACGTCTGCATCCACTTGTAATTTTAGAAAAGATGACTTTGTATATACTTAAATTTATGTTCACAATTTCATATTTGTAAGCACCGCTGATTTAAGTTCAAACGTTTTTTCTGTATATACACCTAGTCTTTAGATTTTTAGTTTACTTAATGATTAGTTAATTGCAAACGACCCCACAAGCTCCTGTAGCTTTAATACTCATCGTTTTAAGATAAAGGCTATCTATCTATTTATCTATCTATTAATATTATCCCTTTCAAGCCCTTTCCAACGAGACTAAAATTGATCATACCACGTGTTTTAACTAAATTCATTCACCTTATAAACGTATGGTTATCTTCCACCAAACGAAATACATCAGAAAACACCACTTTGCCTCAAGAAAGGCCAAACACTTACCATCATCATCTTGTCTCTTGTATCGAGTGAGGCTTCGAACGGGAAAACACTGACTGGAAAACCCCGTACTGGAAATAAATCCCGCGTCGGTATTCGCAGCTGACATAGCAAATGCTTGATTCTAAATATCCATCTCTAAAATATGTCTTTTGACGCCAACAGCGAAAGTTTAATGCAAGAGTTTGCGGGAGTAATCGAGGCAGCCATATTGGCGAGCAATTGTCTTTATTACCATGGTAACGTGAGCATTTACAGAACTTGTGTTTACTTGTCTAGGGGAGGGACAAATTATTGGTTTTTACGAAAACGCGTGTAGATCTGCCTTTTTATTCGTCCTCTAGTCTGTTGAGTACAAAAGCAAAAAGGGAACAGTCAAAAGGCGATGTTTAATTTTATAAAAACACATTTCAGCGAATAAGTTTTCCGGCTGGGCAAGGACTCGCAATTAACCCTGTCCTCCCTAGAAAGTGCAAATTTATTTAATGAGGACGACGAATTTTTTGGACCGCGGACAACTTTGCTCTCGTGTTCCAATATGGCGGCCTTTGGCACACAAAGTTACGAAATGTTACGAAATGTTCCCAGTCCATCAACACAAACTTTGCTAAGTTGGCGACCAGCTTGGTTCAAAATGTTGAAGAAAAATCAAGCAAACAAATAACGAGACAAAACAGGAATTTTAGGAAAAAACATCACTCCTCCCCGGCGGGGAATCGAACCCCGGTCTCCCGCGTGACAGGCGGGGATACTCACCACTATACTACCGAGGAACTCGGTTGAAGACGGAGGGATTATTAAGAACACAATGCCTTCTGGGGCGCAGTTGGGCTTTACAACTGGAAACATAAGGGCTACTCGTGTTTCCCCTTTGTCCCTTCCAGGGTGGATATGATAAAGAGTAGGAAACGAGCGCGTCCGAGCAAAAAGGTGTTGTGTAGTGGACTGGGATCAAATTAAAGAGACGGCAAACGAACGACGGCTAGTTGGGAATATCAAGGGAATATCAAGGGAAACTCAGGAAAATGACAAAGGGTTTGATCAAGCTGGTTTGAATTTAAAGACATTTGCGGCGTATTGCGAGAATCGCCACGGCGCGTTGTACCCCCTCCGAGGCAAAGTTTGAAGTACTAGTACAACGCCACTATACCCAAATATATCCAGCTAATTTTTTTGTTATGTTATGTAAAGTTTATCCCCCTTTTGTTTATCAATATTGTTATGAAACGAATTTATCCATTTAACACTGTAGGCTGAAATGACAAAGAGAAAATAGGATTTCCGGTTGGCAAAAGGAAAATTTCGCCGGCCTTCGAGCGCACCGGAAGCGTGCAAAACATCACTTGAAGAGCGGAGTGCTCGTTTCATCGCCCAACCTTTATCCGCCCTGGTCCCTTCCCACCTCAAAGCGCATCTCAAGTAACCCCAGTCTTCTCTCACCTCCCAAAACACGTGTTAAATTATAGCGACTGGGTACGAGCTAACCTGAGATCAGGCGTTATTTTTTTTGCTTCGTTGCTTCCTTGGCTCGAGAGGGAAAAAAATAACGCCTGATACATTTATTTAACAAGCCATCAACCGCCCCCTAATTTACATAATCTAACGTCTGCTTGACCTGTCATGTTATTAGCCAATCAGCGTTTGCCAGAAGGGAATAAAATTTTGGCGGGAATAGTAATGTCTCTTTCGATTGGAAATAAAGNGTTTGAATTTAAAGAGATTTGCGACGCATTGTGAGAATCGCCACGACGCGTTGTATCCGCTCCGAGGCAAAGTTTGAAATAGTACAACGCTACTATACCCAAATATATCCAGCTAATTTTTTTGTTATGTTATGTGAAGTTTATCCCCCTTTTGTTTATCAATATTGTTATGAAACGAATTTATCCATTTAACACTGTAGGCTGAAATGACAAAGAGAAAATAGGATTTCCGCTTTGCAAAAGGAAAATTTCGCCGGCCTTCGAGCGCACCGGAAGCGTGCAAAAAATCACTTGAAGAGCGGAGTGCTCGTTTCATCGCCCAACCTTTATCCGCCCTGGTCCCTTCCCACCTCAACGCGCACCTCAAGTGACCCCAATCTTCTCTCACCTCCCAAAACACGTATTAAAATAGCGACTGGGTACAAGCCTGACTGAAGGGTACATATAAATATAAGTTTTACAGTATTTTCAAAGTATAAACTGATAGGCTAAAGAATATAAGTAAATGAAGGAAAAAAGCTAAATGAGAGACTCGCTCAACACATGCAAAGGTCTTCTCTAACTAAACTGATGAAGCTCAAAACGGGTTTTAGAGGCCCAGACCGGCGCCGATTTTAACTCTAGCCGAACTAAACTCAAAAGGAGAAAAATGCTCAATTAGGTCAAACTGCCTACAAAATACGTTGAATCAGGGACGGATCCAGAAAATTCAGAAAGGGGAAGCCGAGACAGATACTATTTATGCTGTTTATGTTACTGAGATTCTATAAAATAATAGAAAATGTTATAGAAAAAAAGAGGTGGCGGCGGTTCCCTCGGCCAACCCCTAAATCCGCCCAAGATAACCAGATTTATGCACTAGGTTCGGCACTGAAACGTTCGGTGTCTGAACCGGGAGTACTACTACCCCTGACTACCGTGAAGTGCTTTTAGGATTGTCAAGAATATCAAAGTTTGCAGGGTTAATTATAGTTCATATTTGGCTCTTTTGCTGTCACTGCAAATAGGTACGTATTTTTTTAAAACTTCAACTTGAAAATCAGAAATTATAAAAACAGAAGGAAACATTTGGCGATTGGTAAATGTAAAACACAAGTATCAAACGTCGTTTCGTCCCGCTCCTCTGTCCGGAATGGATTTTCGTATTTGTCGACGTCAAGCCATTATTTTTCCCTTTTACTGATGTACCATTCTTAGAGATTTTCCTGATTCATAATTTTAGCCGTCTTTTTCAATTTTGCCAGACAAACTTACGTTAGAGATGAGACTACCTCCCCTCCTTAAAAGGCGGAAGTACGCGGGTAATTAAATTTGAGAGAAGATAGACCTGCGCTAGCCAAAAAGATGATGCATGAATTCCAAAGAAGAAATGTTGAAATTCTAGTTTATAGCTAGGTTATGTTCACAACATACTGGATGGCATTTCGAGCCGAACACTTATCCGATATGTGACTCTCCTTCTTTAGAGATCGGCGAGGCGCGGCTTCGAAGTCGCCTTTGAAGAAATCACCATTCTTACTAGTATCAACAGCAGCCGTATTCGGTATGATTTTCGTGCCGGCGCAAAAACTATCCGGTATAATGTGATAAAACGTAGCTTTCAAGACCGCGTCTGTACTTACAGCTGTTGATTTAAACTAACGCGTGGAAGCAGGTACCCGTCGGGTACGAACAAAATCGCTGAAGAACGAGCAAAACTTTCAAAGTTTGAGATGGTCACTTTAAATTAAAATTTGAAACGTAAAAGAGCAAAATTTTACAATAGTGCGTCGGCAACCAGTTGTGAGATACAAACTGTTCCGACGAGAATCGCCATAAATTTATTTACTTTTTTTAGAACAAGGAAGTAAAAAGATCCCTTTCAAGCCCACTCAATTCAGTGCCATTAAGTCACAAATTCATCAATCCAAAAGTGAATGGCATCCATCTAGGCAGGTGGCAGTGCCGTGTCATATCATCTGAACTCTGTCTTAAAAGTACAGCAAAATCAATCATGTTAATTCCACCATCAAAGGGTAACAAAAAACTGAGATAATGAGATATTAGGTGAGACATCGATTGAGTATTTTTAGGTTGAGCTGGAAAGAATATGGTTATCATAACAAACAAGGCGGTCGCACAAAAGCTTTGATCGTAAATCACATACCGAAAATTAACTTTGGAATCGCAGAGTTGGAAGGAAGATTACTTTCTTGTTTTTCGCTTGCGTCCAAAATTATTTCACTAAATATTCAACAGTCGTCAATCAACGTCATTTGCAACAAGGAAGTAAAGGAAACAGGAAATAGTTTCTATAGCAAAATACATATAACGAATCAAGTTCAGGAAATGCTGAAACAGTATAAAACGCGCTCGTAAGTTGAAGGTGAATTAGACGCAGCTGACATAGCAAATGCTTGATTCTAAATATCCATCTCTAAAATATGTCTTTTGACGCCAACAGCGAAAGTTTAATGCAAGAGTTTGCGGGAGTAATCGAGGCAGCCATATTGGCGAGCAATTGTCTTTATTACCATGGTAACGTGAGCATTTACAGAACTTGTGTTTACTTGTCTAGGGGAGGGACAAATTATTGGTTTTTACGAAAACGCGTGTAGATCTGCCTTTTTATTCGTCCTCTAGTCTGTTGAGTACAAAAGCAAAAAGGGAACAGTCAAAAGGCGATGTTTAATTTTATAAAAACACATTTCAGCGAATAAGTTTTCCGGCTGGGCAAGGACTCGCAATTAACCCTGTCCTCCCTAGAAAGTGCAAATTTATTTAATGAGGACGACGAATTTTTTGGACCGCGGACAACTTTGCTCTCGTGTTCCAATATGGCGGCCTTTGGCACACAAAGTTACGAAATGTTACGAAATGTTCCCAGTCCATCAACACAAACTTTGCTAAGTTGGCGACCAGCTTGGTTCAAAATGTTGAAGAAAAATCAAGCAAACAAATAACGAGACAAAACAGGAATTTTAGGAAAAAACATCACTCCTCCCCGGCGGGGAATCGAACCCCGGTCTCCCGCGTGACAGGCGGGGATACTCACCACTATACTACCGAGGAACTCGGTTGAAGACGGAGGGATTATTAAGAACACAATGCCTTCTGGGGCGCAGTTGGGCTTTACAACTGGAAACATAAGGGCTACTCGTGTTTCCCCTTTGTCCCTTCCAGGGTGGATATGATAAAGAGTAGGAAACGAGCGCGTCCGAGCAAAAAGGTGTTGTGTAGTGGACTGGGATCAAATTAAAGAGACGGCAAACGAACGACGGCTAGTTGGGAATATCAAGGGAATATCAAGGGAAACTCAGGAAAATGACAAAGGGTTTGATCAAGCTGGTTTGAATTTAAAGACATTTGCGGCGTATTGCGAGAATCGCCACGGCGCGTTGTACCCCCTCCGAGGCAAAGTTTGAAGTACTAGTACAACGCCACTATACCCAAATATATCCAGCTAATTTTTTTGTTATGTTATGTAAAGTTTATCCCCCTTTTGTTTATCAATATTGTTATGAAACGAATTTATCCATTTAACAC